CACACCATTTTTTTTTCAGAGGGGAATCTGACTCGAGTATAAGCCGAGGGGGGTTTTTTCAGCACAAAAAATGGGCTGAAAAACTCAGCTTATACTCGAGTATATACGGTAATTTAAACTTTACTACTTAAACTCATCACATTTGTTTACCATAGCAACTGGTTTATCATCTTCTTAAGATGATGTTTTAGGGGATAATGGCTGTACATATTCAGAACATTCTTAGGAAAGTAGTGTCTAGGTTCAAAACTAATTACAGCCCTGAATTAGTTTTAACTGGTCTGATAGATGGCTGTTGAACTCTGAATAGTTTACAGTGTTGTTTAATATGAGAGCATTTTATTGCTTGTTTTTTATATTAAATAGTTTTTAATACTGACAGGGCAAGACATTAGAATATAAACTGACAGCAAACCCCAATCCTTACTAGCACTGATGATGTTACTTAGTTTGGGCAATGAATATCTGCTAGAAAACAAGCAAGCTCAGAGAACACCAAAGACCCTTCAATTGTTTTTAAGGCAGTGATCCCCAACCTTTTTTATGCCGCGGCCCGGTATCGGCATCAGCTGGGCGCCGCGGCCCGGTACCGGCATCAACTGGGCGCCGCCATCTTTTTTTGACGAAAAAGTGCTTCTGGTGAGCTTTCTACCCGGAGAAGCTCACCGGAAGCACTTTTTTATCAAAAAAAGATGGCGGCGCCCAGCAACCAGCGGCCCGGTAAGACTTGTTCCGCAGACCGGTACCGGTCCGCGGACTGGCGGTTGGGGACCCCTGTTTTAAGGAACACTGTTTACTGTGTATTGTTAATGTTCTCTTGGCTGTTTCAGGAGAGAGAATAATATAAAATAGACATAAACTTCAGAGATGTTTTTGATACAGGTGCTTTGATTATGGAATTCCTTTCCTATCCTAGTTATATTAGATGCTCAGAAGACTAAACCTCTGGTCCAGATGACCAACCCAGATGGGATCCTGCAACATTATCTTGGGACACGTATATTTGCCTTCATTTGAAATAAATAACTTTGAAAGTGTCAAATAATACCTAACCATTAAAAATTAATGTGACCCATCATTACAGTGAAGCCAAGAAGGAAAGGTCTATTTATAAAAATTGCAAGCACAATTATGCTAACAATGCCGTAAGAATCAAGAAATACTGGATAACACAAAGAAACATTTCTGACACTATATAATAAAAGCAATATACAGAAAGTTAATTCCAGAAAGTTAAATGAGCAATTTGTTAAGGTTAATATTTTCTCAGGTACTATTTTATTATATTTGTTGTCTGTTATCTGGCTTATTTGTTTTTTCAAGATAGTTTTTCAATATTATTGCATGTTTATTTTATTGCTTTATTACAATATATTATTCTCTTAAAAATTAAAATATTTATTACTATTAAATACAAGAAGCCCACAAAAATTTCTACAAAAGTGTTTTCTTCCTTGCATATATATGGTAGAAGAGACACCAAAGATCTAGATTCTAGTAAAACAAAGAGCACTCAGTTCAACTGAAACAAAAAGGGGAAGAGATAAGCATAAGAAAATATCACCATTCTTATTTTATATTTCAAACTTGCTTGTTGTAGAAAAGTCACAAGCATTCTCAGTCTGGTGGACTCGGTCTGTATAGAATGTGACAAAACTTTTTTTTGGGGAAAGAATGGATATTATTTGAAACAGAATTAAATAATATAAGTGAGTTTACAAATAATGACAGTAGAACCGGTAGTATTCTTATTACTTATAATAAGAGAACTAAATTATGTTAAAATGGATGGCTGGAAATCATGGAAAATTGTTTTAAGCATATTAAAATTAATTCAAGAGAGGAATATGCTGTTACATTGAAATTAATAAGAAAATAATTTATTATGAATTTGTTCAAAATATTATTTAACTCAGTATCCTTATCAAATGTTATATGTAGTTGTTCATTAACAATTATTCAAAGTTACAATGGCACTGAATGAGGAGGCCTGTATCTGGTTCTTGAAGTTGAGGCTATTGCAGCTTCCCCAATCGCATGACCACAATTTGGGTGCTTGGCAATTGGCTAACAATTGTGATGGCCGCAATGTCCCATAGTCACATGACTGCCATCTATGACTTTCATTGCCAGCTTCTGACAAGCAATATCAATGGGGAAGCCATTAGGAAGTTACAAATGGACTTGTAAAATCATTCTTAATTATAATGCAGAATGTGCCTAACAATTGCAACTGCCAGAACTGTTATCATAAGTGGAAAAGTCATGTGATGTTGCACTTTACAACCAAATCACTTAGCAATGGAGTTTCTGGTTCCAATTACCATTGTTAACTAAAGGCTAACTGTACTCTTTCCTCTAGGGCTGATCTAAAGTAAATGTGCATGCTTACCATCTCCCAACAACTCTGGACAGCTCACAAGAAAAAGTATCAAAACCAAGAAAAAATACAGCAAGGAACAAAGTAAAAGATGGCAAGGAGGATAAAAAAAAACCATACAGAATGAAAAAGAATCAAACCAACATAGTTGAAGGGGAATCCAGTCATCCTTGCCAAAAGTCTGTGAAACATTAGCAGGTTGGTATTGGAGTAAAACAGTCTAGACATAAAGCAAGTCTCCTGTTTATGAGTGCCTCGTGGTTTCATTTTCTCCCATTTTTATTTAAAATTTACATAAACCTATGTGGGAAGTAATCCATTTGCATGGGAATGCAGTCTCATCATTATGTTGATACTCAATTGTGTAACCCTGCTCTTAGCTGACCAAGTGTTTGTCAAGGTTTTGGCCCAATGCCTGAATGTTACAGACGACTGAATGAAGAATAGGCTTCAGCTCAAACCTAGTAAAGGACCAAGTGATTGGAGCCCCTAATTCTAGTAGAGATACTTCCATATTGGGGAATCGTAAGTGGGGATTTATACTTTTCCACTTAAAACTGCATATAATTTGGGGGCTCTTCTGAATTTATACCAGTAGTTCTTGCTTGAGCGGATGACAGCTGTGGCCCAGGTGGCTTTCATACAACTTTTATGTTTTGTGTACTAATTGTACATTCCTGATTTGGCAAGTTCTGTTTATAGTCAGTCATGCTTTATTGCTGCCAAATTAGACAGTACAATTCACTGAACACGGAGCTACCTTTGTAAATTATCCAGGAGCTATAATTATTCCACAAAAAAGCAGCACAGGTACTTATGGACACACCTCAGTACATCCACTTAACTACTTCATGAACTGCTCTAGCTCCCGCTAAGCTTGAGTCCAATGAAAATTACCAGTAATCACACATAATGCCCCATGTAATGGGTGACAGGGTTACCTGCAGGACCATCTTTCTCAGATTGTCTTCTATTGTACCACATGTTCTCACAGGAAGAGCTCACTTCAGGTTCCTTCACTGAAACAATGGCACCTTGATAGCACATAGAGATGTGCCTTTTTCAATACAGCACCCATTCTCCTCCTTCCTCCAGCATATATTTAGTCCCAAATTAGTTGGCTTTGGGAAAGTTATTAAAAAACTGTTTTCCCTGTATATGGGGAGCAGGGTAATAGAAGATCCCACAGCTGGAATTTTAATTGGGCCTCAATTTTTCTTTCTTTCCTGAATTAAAACATTTTAAATTGATGTATGTCACACAGAATCCAAGTTGTAATATCATATGAATTTATTCAATAACCAATAAATATGATTTTTTGTGGTTATACTTACAGACCTCACATGTTGTTTATATTTTGTTTTTATTAATAGCAATAGTAATAGACGCCCTTGGATGCAATCTGAAATCATCTGGAGCTCCACTTGAACATGATCGACATTGACAAAAACACCATCAGTCAATTGCAAAGGCAGCCTTATCTGGAATGATGTACATCCTGGATAATACCTTTTACACCATCAAACAGTAACATCTGCATATCCCAGGTTCTTGAGAAGGGCTCAAATATCAAATCTAGTCTTAACTATCCGGTTGACATTGTGACCAATCATGATAACTTAAAACTTTTATGTCACCCAAGTATAATAGAAGTTTGCTTTGGATCACACTCCTATGAAGGCATTGTATATTTTACTTTTACACTTACCAAACTTTCTAATACAAATTAGAATTTTCAAAAGCCCATATGGCTAGTTAGGTATTGAAAAAGTGTCTCAGGAATTACACTTAAAATACCCATAAAACATTATTCCTGACGTTTCAGGGAAAGCAAGGTATAACACCTCATTTATTTTTTACTTAAAAAGCCACCACTAACATTAACTATTTTAGACATCGTATTAAGTACAGGTGGTCCTTAGCTTAGGATCAAAGTTCCAATGGCCATTCTCTTTCCCACAGTCACGATGGCCACAGTTCAGGTGCTCATCACACAGTTTGCATTTTCAGCATCTTAGTGTCATGCAATTACAATTCACATTTTTGCCAAAAATCCAAGTTCACATCCAATTTTTGGCCAAAATGTAAGGTAGGGGGAAAAAAGGGTTCCCTTAACAACTGCTGCCAAAAAAAAAAAAAAAAAGTCAGTTACAATGCCCTGAATCACAATCATCACAAGTTATGACAGCAACTGGCAGACTCCACTACAGTTGCAAGTCAAAGACTACCTGTATGCTTATAAAAATTTCATATGCACCCTGAACAGAACCTTGAATTGAGAAGTATAGTGGACCCAGCCAACCTCTTCCAGGCTCATCAACTCCTCAAATTATCTCTCCGAAAATATTTTCCCAACACTTATTTAGAACTAACATTTCCCCACAGGACAAACAGCAGCGTTTAAATCCTATCTATAGAACAACGCAGAGAGGAAACAAACTAGCTTTCTTTCCACCACAACCCCAATGCAAACTGAGCCTTCTTGCCTAGGATTTCGCTGAAGAAAAGACCACCCGCTATTTCCTTGACCCCCCATCCGACTCAATGGGGAAAATGACGGTATAGGGCAACTGAAATGGGCTTCCCGACGGCCGTAGAGACAACTGTGCGCGATACTCACCCTTGTATACCTGAGCTGTACTGCCTACTTTTCCAAGGCGTGCCTAGAGCGAGGGCGCAGCCGGCCTGGGCTGGAGAGCAGGGGCCGCTTTCGCCAGCTGGGCCGGTCCCTCTGCGGACGGTGCCGCCACCGCCGCCCGAGAGCAGATAGTTCATCCCATACGTGCTGGCCTTATTCTCTCGTTTCCTGCGCCCCGGGTGGTACTGGTGGTGGTGGAAGTGGTGGTGGTGGTGGTGGTAGTAATGGGGATGGGGAGAGGAGGGGGCGGTAACGGCCACGCCGGAGGCCCGCGGGGCCTGCCCTCCTCCTCCTCCTCCTCCCTCCTCCTCCAGCTCTTCTTGCTTCGTTGAATTCGCTTCAGCGGCGCCTGCCAAGATTTTGCCAGAGGCCGGCGGCGGCCCCCCAAGTCCGGGCCGGACGCAGGACGGCGACGAGGAAGAACCACCACCGGGGCTGTCAGCCCCAGACTCGGAGGAGGAGGAGGAAGAGAGGGACGCCGCCGGGGCCTTCTGTAGGAGCAGCAGGCGCGGCGCTCGTCTTTCCGCGCTCTGGGCAGGGAGAAGGCGCAGGGAAGCCGGCTTGGAGATCAGCTGAGGAGATGACAGAGGTCCGCCAGCAGCAACGGAGGCCTCGGAGCTGGGCGATGGAGGCGCCGTCGCCGCCGGGCTAAACCGGCAGAAGGAATAACGGGTGGCGGCCGTCGGCGGGAAGGCAGGCGAAGACGGCGAGGACGTCGAAGAGCCGCCGCCGGTCCGGCCCTGCGAGGTCTCCCAGATCTGCATCCAGAGCGCATTGGCGGGGCCTTTCTGCTCCGGCTGGATCCAGGCAACCCGGGGATCCATCCATCCGGCCCTGCCTCGCAGCCGGTTCCGACGGCCCGTCAGACGCGCGCCTGGTAGTAGGAGAAGGAGAAGAAGGAGAAGAGGGGGAGGGGCGGCAACGGCATCCGAGGCGGGGCGTTTAGGCTGGAGAAAGAGGCGGGCGACGCCAACCAACAGGACCCCGTGCAGCGCCCCTCCTCACGGCCCCCCCCCTTCTTAAAATCAACGCTGCGCCTGCGCAGAGGCAGTCTTCCACGCGGGTTGCGTTCTTCAATCCTCCCTGATTAAAGAGAAAAATACTTCTAGGCGCGCGAGGAGAGCGGCCGCCCGATTGCTGGGAAACGAAACTCGGAGGATGCGATTTTTATTCCTTCCTTTTGGAGGCGAAAGCGTCTGCAAAGCAGCATTTCAAGCGTTCGGTGGTCAAAGCGGCTGGAATATTTTTTTTGTTTTTTTGTTGTTTTTGTTTTTTTGCCAGAATGATCGGAAACTATTAGAAAAGAACGCAGTCACAAGTTCTTTCAAACTCGGTTCTTTCTTCGATGGTGAAAAGTTAGGTAAACTTTCAAACGTGCTCAGGGCGTTCCAATACGCTGTCACAAAAAGAGCAAAAGGCAGCTCACTGCATTCCTTTTTCAATCTGACGACCTTACATGCGTCGAAATAGCAGATCCCAAGTTCCTAGCCAGATTCTAATACATCTGGAAGACCGTAATTGGGGAAGGCTAGGTCGCTTAAAGCTACAGATTCTGGGAGCCCGATTCCCGCCGTCCTTTAAATCGCACAGAGCTATTTGACCGAGAAATGGCCTGTTTTGCCTGCAAGGTTGTCCTTTTTTCTTCACTTGTGTTAGATTTTTCAGAATACAAGATGGGAGGTGGGAAAAGTTTGAATTAGGCAAGGAACTTCTTGCCGTCTGTTAACCCGTTAGCGATATCATGATAAAGGCTGTTAATGCTGAATATGAAGCATTCACCTCCCACAAAAGATGAGAAGATAAAGATCAATCAATCAGAATAAAGCTGGAAGACACCTTGGAGATCTTTATTTGTTCATTTATTTGTAAAATATGTATAGCTGGTTCCAATCCAATTATTCATGCAGGAAATCTCTTAATATAATGTACAAACCAAGTCAGAACGTGAACTGGGAATAGTGTTTGAATTAATTAGAGAAAGAAAATGTTTACTGAAGATGTAGCAAAAAAGAGCGATCCATGTGCTTCTTTCTCTGCCTTAATAGCTCGGGACTATGTTCCAAGCCAATAAAACAGAAAGGTTTTCATAAGAACATGGTATTATGTATTACAAATACCACCCCCCCTCTGTTTTCATCTCTCTGTCTCACCTTTTCTATTTAAGAAAAAAGAAAATAGCGTTTGATACGACAAGTCAATAACCCCCTCCCTAAATCTGCTTTCCCAGGAGAAATAAATTGTCAGCCAGCTGTACATAAAAAGGATGATTTATTAAAATTGTATGCTCCCCACCCCAATGATTCTGGATGCCCAATGACTCTGGATGTTCACAGCAATCAAACAAGCAATTGCAATAAAGCTAATAAAAGACGGCAAGAACAACAGACCAGATGGAAAGAAGCAAGATGTCTTACTTTCCTTTCTCAAAAGGCCTGGGTGAAGAGCCAGGTTTTTATGGCTCTTCTAAACCAGGGGTCCCCAATCACCAGGCCCCAGACCGGTACCGGTCCGTGGATCATTTTCTACCAGGCCGCCGGTTTGCTGGGCGCCGCCATCTTGTTTCGATGAGAAAGTGCTTCCAGGTGAGCTTTTCCGGTTGGAAAGCGGTGTTTGGTCCTGAAGGAATCCTCGCGCCTTAGTTTCATCGAGGGGGGGGGGGCGGCTTCGAACGAAGAGCCGTCCTGATGGCAGAGGAGATTAAGAAAGCACAAAAAAGGTACAAAGGAGGAGTTGAAGATGGCGGGGAGAAGCGGGGGACGGCTGGCTGGTCGGTCGCTCGGCTCGCCTTGGCTTGTCATGCGTGCTGATGCCGGTACCGGGCCGCGGATCATTTTGTGATGCCGGTACCGGGCCGTGGCACAAAAAAGGTTGGGGGGCCACTGTTCTAAACAACAGCAGAGTGGGGCCCATCTGGATCACAGGAGGAACTGCTTTCCAGAGGGCAGGCACCGCTTCCAAAGAAGGCATGCTTTTGGGGTCCTGATGGATGACATTATTTAACTGATGGAACCCAAGGTGCATCAAACCTGTAGGGTCAAATTGGCTGAGCAGATGTTATGGGAGACAGGCAGTCCCTGAAACGGCCCTGCCCTATATAACATGTAGAGCTTTATATGTAATGATCAGCACCTTAAATCGTACCCTGAAATAAACTGGCAACCAAAGCAGTTTGTGAAGCAGAGATTTTACATGGGCATACTGAGGCATGTCCGTTGCTGCTCAAACTATTGCATTCTGGATCACGTGAAGCCTTCAAGGATAGTGCCATGGAGATAGCACTGTGGTAGCCAAGTCACAAAATCACTAGAGTATGATTCTCCTTCTGAATGCGCCCCCCCCCCCAATCTAAGAAGGGGCACAACTGGCACACCACATGGAATTGCAAAGGCCTTCCTAGTGACAGCTGACACCTGTTCTTCAAGCAGGAGCTACAGGTCCCGGAAGACCTCCAGAATGTCTACCAAACTTGAGGGGGGGGGAGCTGCTGTTTCACTCAATATTGAAGAGTATCCCCCCCCCAAAAAAATCTGGGCAGTTCAAATACCTGTCAGTCTTGATAGGAGTGTGTCAGAGGTATCTTTTTAATGATGATGTTGCAAAATCACAGAGCTCTGGATTTAATGATGGTAATCCAAGGGAGATTTATGTAGATAAAACTTGAAACCAAGAACAAAATGCATTGATTCTAAACACTACTATTACTTTTTTTCCAGGAAGAATATACCACCACTTCTAATGCATTTGGGGATTGGGACTGGCTCACATTCCTGTTTTCTAATTTGGGGGAAAAAAATAATTCTGCAGGAGCTTGTAGCAATAATCTTTGAATTATTCTGTATATTCTTAGGCAGGGGTTCCCAACCTTTTCTATACCCCCATAGAACGCTTCTGATATATTCTTGCACCTGTTAGGAATATAAGTCACCTAACAGCTATTTGGGTTGGAAATATATAAACCAGGATAGACATTTTAACACTGTCTCTTTAAAAGAATTATAAATGTGTAATTGGATGTGGTCTCTCAAATGGCCATAAGATGGAGCCAGAAACCTAGGTTATCTTAGTCTTAGTCTCAGAGTGTGTCTTAGTGAGTCTCTCTTTTTCCTTCTGTTGGAGAGTATTGCCGTCCTCCTAATTGACTTATATTCCTGGATTTAATGTAAATCTGTTACTGAACTGTTTCTGACACTGGACTTTGTTATTGGATTATCCCTGGACTGAAAACTGACTGATTTAACTTGTGAATGACTTTGGACTGCTTATTTTGAACTTTGCTTAAACTTTTCTGGAAGGAAAAACCTACATTTACTGTACAGTGTATCTGTGTGCTGTGTTTGTATTATTCAAACACTTCTCTCAAATACGTCTCCCTGTAGGCGCTCATTCTCCTAACGGGGAATTACCTCAGCAGCACCCCTTAAAAATAAATAATTATACATATACATTATAATTTTGAACTTCTAAACCCAAGTTTTTGCACCCCCTGAAATATCATCTTGCACCCCCAGGAGGTGTGAGCATCCCTGGTTAAGAACCCCTGCCCTTAGGTATTCCATGTGAGTGATATATATAGGAAACCATCTGCAAGGAAATGGAAAACACAAACCACACAATAGAATTTCAAGACAGGAGCTGTGGTATGTTGATCAGGAATAGAAATATCACTGGACCACTAAAATAAAATACCTAGAGAAACTACCTAGAGAGCCAATGGTAACATTTATTCAAAGAATATGACTTTTGTCCAATTCAGTATTGGTTTTTGCAATACAAAACCTCATTACTATTTTGCAATGAACCTCATTACCTCTCTAGCCTTACCTCACCATTATCTACGTACTGCTATGTATAAATTATTCTCCTATACAAATTACAGGTATAATCCTAATTTGCATAAGTACAGAGAGTTTTCCTCTCTGTCCCTTTTAGAATTTGCTGGCTGCTTCCATTGCTGTAACAAAGAATCTATGCTTCAATGGACTTGTATGCTGGTCTCTGATTTAAATAATCTCTAGGGGAAATTTTGAAAGAAATTTCTCTTACAATTGATGTAATAGTATCCAATAAATATTTAGAAACAAAATGTAAGTTCCTAAATAAAAGGTTGACAGATTTATTGTGGCAAAAATATTTAAGGGCTAGTCTGTTGCATAAAAGCTAATGCCTTAATAAACATTTGCTTCTAAATTCCCAGAAGAATCTTGTTTTACTCTTGTTGATGTTTTTACTGCAATAGAGTAACATGGAATCTATCTGGAAAAATACTGTGTCTATGGGAAAAAAATCTACACTTACAGACAGTAACAATTTGACACTTTCCTAAGTTGTTTCTTTGAATCAGTTTTTGACTCCTTGACTAGCCAGTGCTGTTTTCCTGACAAGGGTTTTTGGGGTGGGGGGTGGGGGGGCTGGAAATTGTTTGCCATTGTCTTCTTCCGAGGGCTGAAATAGACTGACTGGCGCAGGGTAACCCAGCTGCTTTTATGCCTAAAACAGGAGTACTATTCACATCTACTGGTTTCTAGCCTGGTGCGTGTATGTGTGTAAGTGTGCATGCATATCCTTGCATGCACCTTTGAGTCAGTTTTTAACTCCTGGTGACCGACTGGATGAACCCCTGCAATTTTCTTGGCAAGATTTTAGAAGTGGTTTGCCATTGTCTCCTTCCTAAGTTTAAGAGAAAGGGACTTGCCCAAGGCCAACCAGTTTGGTTTTGGCCTGAGGCAAGATCAAAACTCATGGTCACTAGCCTGGTGCCTTAAACACTATAATTGGTTATAAAATCATGCAGAATTTGGTTCTGAATAATTCTACTTCAAATCCTTCGGATATTGCTGACTTTATTCACAGAATTACTTTGCGTTTTATGTGAATTTTAAACTTTGTTAAGAGATAAAGATATTGGACTGGAATAAGTCAACATCCCACTTACCCCACTAGAAAGAGCAGTGAGTAATTCCAATGCTCTTCCTGCAAGGAGACAATAGCAGGAAAGGTGTTGGAAATACATCAGAAAAGAATTGAAGCTTGTTCAATGTTAGTGGAAAAAATAAGACATCCAAGTTAGAGAAGCACAACATACTGTGGTGAAAACCAGAGTCTTAAAAAAAAGGGAAGTGTTAGGGATATACACCCTAGCAGAATGTGCATGGCAGTCAGGCAAATATGTGAGACAAACGTTTTTGTAGCTTACACTCAGTAAAACAGATACAATGTGCTAGTTAAATAGTTTATTCCAGTAATAGTAATTTAGCATAGT